GGCAGAGAAAGGGAGCGATGTCAGGAGAAGAAAGAAAGGAAAGGCCACAGTAAAGATGCAGAGGAAGCTGCCTCGCCAGATACTCCCTCCTCTCAATTAACAGAATCAGTAATAAACAGCCTTGTTCTCCAGGGAAACATGACTTTGATATAGAACGTATCAAAAGCTTATCGTTGTACACACGCTATTAATACAAGGAAGCCTATTCCACAGTGGTCTGCAGTGTCTTGAGTTAAGCTTAAACTCATTAGACAAAAGCCTTTATTACATTGAGACTATCTGAGGAGGCAGAGCTCCAACTGTAGTCTTGGGATAGTTTCCATTCAAGAGCAACAAGCTTTTCCATCAACAAGACATATTGTTAGTGAATGAATACAGCTTAACAGGATTAAAATATTCTGAGTGGCACTTAATGTTGCTACAACATTCTGTGAGCCAAAACTTGTGTCCATAGACTTGTGTTGAATACACACTGTGGAGCTCCAGGCACACAATGTGACAGTGGGCTGGTCATCAACAGTTTCCCTGCCTGACTGAGAGGTCACCGAGTGTCATGGGTGGTGGCCGGCCATGCGCGAGTGTGTTTGATCTGGTGGCCGGGTCAGCCCTGACGCTAACAGAGTTATTAGGGGACTTATTAAGGGCAGTCAGGAGCCAGATAAACCCCCCACTGATTCCATCATTACTGCCATTGTGGCAGGGTCATTACCGCCCTGCTGCTGGGGCTTTGGAGCAAGGATTGAGAATGTGCTGGTGTGCACACCACATTGGATGGGTGGGGAGAGGATGTGTGTGTGGGTTGAGTTCTAGAGATTGAAGTGAAGGTAAATGGGTGTCAGAGTGAGGAGATCTCCTGAGGGATTTGATCAAATACCATGTGATGAGGGGGTGGTTGACTGCAGCCATCACTTGCGGAAAAGGTTTTACCAAACTACCTTTCCAGGGCTGACCTTTCCGTACAGGCACAACACATGTTGGAGGATTTTTCTCCACTGAACATGAGGGCGTAGTAATACATTGAAATGAAATGCACTTGCTGTGTTTCATTTTCATACATCAGTGAAACATGATTAGCTAAATTATGCCTACAATACTTCAGGCAAAGAACTCCCTTGTTATTCAATATTAAGCCATTATTTCACAGCTCTCTTTCTACCTCTCAACCAATGTTTTGATTTATTTTTAAAGGTGCAGTGTGGTTTGGTAACACTTCTCCCCGTCCCCTCCGGCCTTATTCACCACAAGCACTTGGCTAAGAATGTTCATTAGCCAGCATCATTAACACAGAGGCATGCTGGGAAAGAAAAAGTCCCAATGACCCAGCTCAGAGGGGAGGAATGCTCTGATTCCTCCTTCAGGATGTGCATACATCTTCATTAGGCCTTTGTCCCTGTGCAGAAATATAAGTGTTGTTGACTTTTAAACCATAAATTGTGAAAAAGCACTTTGCTACGCAACACCAATAGAACCGTTAATGAAAGCTTAAAGATATTAAACGTGAATATTTACGAATATATGTATTTACCTGACTGTAACATAATTGTAAGTAATGGTTTCATATTTTTGAAATATTGTTGGTGTTATTGTAAATTGAAAAATACAGTATACTCAGGGATTTCAGTTGATGTTTAGTAACTTCTCTCTTTCATTGTGTTGTTCCTGAAAAGCCCAGACATCACCATTACAAGGTGGCACAGGCCCTTAGTCCGTCAGCAATTGGTGCGTGCAATGGAGGAAACATTTTGGAAGAAAGAGGGTGTGAAGTTTGCCAACATCAATCTTGTTTCAAATTGAACTGCAAAGTTCCAGCTGAACGAATTGCCTTTCAAATGCAGCAGGCCATGGCTACACACATTCAATCCCGAAGTGAATCTGATTTGATCCCAAGAGCCATACAAAGGCACAGCCCAGTGATTGATAAAGCGAACTGAAGGGAGATGAGGGTAAGAGGAAAAAAGGAGAGCCAAGTCAACGGAGAAGAGGGTAAAGAAAGAGAGAAAAGCCAAGTGAGGGAAAAACTTTGTTTTTATGTGAGATAAAATAACTATGACATTGACAGGTTGATCTGCAGTGTCTATTCAATGTGATGTATTCAAGTTCAAACGATGTGAAAATTGAGGTGGTGAGCAGGAGTTGTGTGTTTCTCATAAGAGATCGCTCGGTGGTCACAATTTTCCGATCACAAAACACTTAATGGTGCTAAAGGTGGAATACTTTCCTTGACATAAATGAATAAGGTGCAGGTTTAAGTGTATCACAATTTCAACTCACAAGGAAATTCTCACGCGCCTATATTTCCCACGGAGTACATACACTTGACTTTGTCTGATTATTAAATATGTGAACAAGCATTGGAAGCATATAATGTGGTTATTTTACCTGATAATGATACATTGTGGACAACAAATCCATTTTAAAATAGTCAAAATTAGAGATGGATAAAATAAGCTGAGCAGCCGTCAGAGGCAACTAAATAAATGCAGTTGTTTTATGATGTTTTAACAGAACTATTTATAATTATATATTGTAAAGAAGCAGTAAATTAGAATCATACCAACGCTGGTAATTTTACCCCACAAAATCAACCAAGTTGAAACGTATGAAATGAATTTACAGGTTGTATGATCTGTATGAAGTTAATAAGGAATTTCAATTAGCATTACAAAAAAATAATTTTCTTAAATATGAAATATGAATGTTTCACTGCCACTTGCCACAATGTCTGTTACATACAGTTTTTTATTATGCACATTTCAAGTAGCTGGTAAAACAGTTTTTTTTTTTTAAAGACATGTTGTTGCCTCTGTCGCCCCGAGTTAGGCTACAAGTGGACGTTGCCAGTATTATTTAATCAGTGACATGTCAGTGGCCTTCACACTTAATAATAATTGACAGATGAGATGAATTCCCAATCAGGCCAAATAACTATCACTTAATAAATGACAACAAAAAATATATTAATAAAAAGCCACTTTTTAGAAGATTGAAGCCGCGCTCGAAATCGCTCTTGATTATCATTTCCTTTTCTTGGAAAACTCATTAAACAGTGAGACTCATAAAAGCAGCAGGGGAGATGACAGTCTTGTTTTAGAGGCCTCTGAGCACAATAAGATTCTGAAAATTGGGGGCTGTTAAAGTGATTCTTTTTTGCTTTTTTTACTTTTACTGCTAAAGTGTTGTTCTTCAACAATGCAAGTAACAAGCAAGAATGCCTAGGTCCGTGAAGTTAACAGACGTCTTTTGGCACCATTTTATGGGGGCAGCTCTGCAGGGAAGGCATTTACACCTGCTTGCCTCATCTTTCACGATACACTAGTCCCCCTGAAGAGTGCTTTACTTATAAATATCCATGTCTTAGATGTGGCAAAGATGGAAGTTTAGACGCTTAGATAAAAAAACAAGTGTGTGTGTGTGCATGCGTTCGTTCGTATGTGTGTGTTTGTGCGATAAAAAAAAATGGGGGCAATATCGCAGACAAATTAAGTCTGTCTTCACCATTGACTTGTTTGTCAAATCAGCAGAAAGGATTTATGGTCCGTGGTTACAACGAGAGTACCAGATATCATGAATTATTCGTGCAGGACCGTTTCTCCACCTAACCGCTCAACACAACAACCAATACAAGTTAACAGACTCCACTTGGGGCCTCACTACTCAAATAAGTCATATTCAAAGCAGAAATAAGTCAGGAATGTTAAAGAGAAAATGTTAAATATTGAAGCACACTTATCGTTTTTTAAATCCTCAAATGGCATGTATTTAAAAGATTATACTGCATGAATCATGAAACAGAGGAAATAGAAAAACCAATGAACTACTATTTCATTTTAAGAAGATCCGATCTAGCACCTTTTTTGCAATACCATCTACATCAAAGGCCTTCTCATTGACTTTCAACTTCACTGACGAGGGGGTAGATATCAAACATTAAGCAGCATTTTTCATTCATGAGCAAATCATGTTCTCTTTCAACAATAGAGGGAAAATAGCTGATTCAGTGAAGTCGCTGCGGGGGTAATTGATAGGGATCCAGCGAAGGTAACTCCCGTGGGAAATGCTGCATCATGAATTCCTACTCTGCCAGCGGGAACATGGACAATCTATTGTGCTTTTCAAAAACCCCAGTGGGTGACAAAGGGAATGTAATAAAGAATTGAAAAGGACATTTAAAGCTGAATTAATGCCGTGTGTCTGTGAAACTCCAAATGTTAAGTCATATTTCATTTTAGGATTCCATCTGAAAATGTATTTTATAGCAGGTGTGCTTTGCAAACATACAGATTTACTGAGTTACAGACACTACATTTAAAATGAAAGACCCAAAAAATAGATAAATAAATAGTTATTGCAAAGGACTCTGCTTAAATGACTTCAGAAATGTCAGAGAGCACGTGTTGAAATATATAACGTCTGGCAGATATCCTCTAATGAAACACGAGAGACCTATCCCTGCTTCTTCATTTAGCCTCGCAACAACTGTTCTTTCCTTCCCACATTCTCCTTCCATCTGTATTATGACGGTAAATCACCTAGCGGCAGCAGAGGAATGGTTGCTATTTATGTCACAGAACAAAAATGAGTTGAGTCTAGTTTGTAGAGCCGGAGGCGGGGAGAGAGACGGAGCAAGAAGCTGCCGGCGGGCTGACTGGTGTCCAAACAGGCGGTGGGAATATGGGAGAAGTTGGAGCATTCTGTAAAGTTGTGTCCACACACCCTGACAGAGCTCAGATCTGACTGTTGTGCGCTTGACAGGGCACTGACTTCTCCCCTCCCACTGCTGCTCGAATTAGAGGAATATACAACACACAAACACTGTCAAATATGTGGAAACCACTCACAGTGTCATGGGAGGAATACATCAATTGCCTTCACACACATTTCCTTTCCATACAAAAACAAAGTTGCTCTGTGCTGCTTGTGTTATTCATCAGCGAGTTACGTAGCCTGCTTGTGTATCCGAGAAACAACTGGCAGGGACAAGAAAACTCCCATAGCTTCCTTCACAAAAAGCCTCCCGTCTTCCCCGGCACAGAATTGGCCAACTGGACTGGAAAAGGCATGAAGCAAACCAAGCATAACTGCTCTCGGTTCACACATATACGTGCAAGTTCAAGTTTGTGCACATCCGCACACAAAAACACTGATCTGTTACTCCTCGATGGGTACAAAGAGCAAACACAATGTGCAGCCACATTGCATGTCTGTCTCTCAAAGACACACACATATAAAAACACTGCAGCAACAGAAATGCTATCCGTAATTGGCACAGATATTTGACTTGAGAGCATACAGACTGTAGATGGTGTTCAAACGCAGAGGGAAAAGTGCTTGGTTTTAGGATAATTAACATTTCAGTGAGGAAAATGACTTCTTAAAGTGTCACAAGATGAAAGTGGCTTGGCGTCTATTGCCTGAGAGGCTAAATGAAGCATGTGTGTGTAGATTAATTAAGGAAGAGATGCAGGCAGATGACGCCTCCTTACCTTTGCTCTGCGAGGAGAAGCACTGGGAGAGCTGAGCAAATAGGTCAGGACTCTCAAACTTCTCTTCTTTGACTTTGATCCAGAAGCAATTCTCTGCCATTTCCTGAGGCACTATCTGCAATGACACAAGGATTCCATTATCACCACAATCAGAGACCGCCATTCCAGCAACCTGCCACTCAAAAACTTCTTCTCGCTGGAGATGAGGTTTTTGTGTGTTTTTGTGTGTTTGGACACACATATGGCCTTGTGTGAGCATCTTTAGAATCTGAGTAGCCAACACAACTACAAACAAAAAAGGCAAAAAAAAGCTAAACTGGAGCCTGCAAGGTTAAATAAGTTATTTCATTTTATGGAGAAATGCATGAATAGGACCACCGAAATGGAGACATGTGGCTAGGTTGTGAATGAAACCTTCACATTAAAGCTATTGGTGATTTTTCAGGGTTAGGGTTACACAAAACATCAGCAACCCTGTTTATACACTCCTCCTACATAGACTTGCCTGACACAGCAAAGCCTCTGCAACCAGGCACCTACACACACAGAGCTGATAGCAGGCCACAGGGATGCCTCACTCCCCTCATCGTTCATTCCCTACTCTCTGCTCAGTAGAGAGTAGGTATACAGAGAGATTCAGACATAAACATGTATGATCTGACATGTTGCAGTTATTACTTGCTAATTTTGTAACACAACATGTGCTGTACATTGTGTTCAGTGATATGGTAAGAGCTCTTATCAAGGGCTTCGACCTGCAGTTGGCCCCTTTCACTGCTGCCATTAACCTCGTAAAAATCTAAGTAATCAGCCACGCACATAAAGAGTTGGGAGTTCAATATGTATGCGATGCAGACAGACAGAGATACGATGCTGTGAAATAATTCCCAAAACCAAATAGAAATGGTGATGAGTGTAACGGTGTTTCAGAGTTCACGATAACATTAGGTGTTTAATGGAATGCTTACGAACATTTCAACATGAGCTGGAGTGGAGTGTGGATAACAACGTGCCTCTATTCAGAAAAACAGAGTTATATTTCCTGATCAAAACTCTTACACCTACAACAGCTCCCCTTTGTTTTACTAAACATAATAGTTCATGCTGAAACAAGTGAAATATTGAACTAGCTTACAAGTTGAGTGAGTGTGGAAGGGCGAAGTAACAAAATGAAACAACCAGAAACAACTATAGCCTAATGGAGGGTTATTTTGGATTTGCAACTTGTCTACAATACAAAATTTGTTTTAATAACACAAAACAACTGGTAGTCAAAGCCCATAGTCCTTTAAAAAAGCAATTCAAGGAAGACTTGGACCAACAATTCCTTTAAAAAAGGGTTCATGATCATAAACCCTTGCTATGCTACATGAAAGTATAATGATTGTGGCCAACAGATGCATGTATAATAAGAAATGGAGGTGGTTGGAAGAACTGCTTTGTGTAACACCATGAGATGTGTTTGAATGCATGACCTCTACAGCTCATTAAGTTGTTGCTGCTTAAAATGCTGCCATTCTGTTAATTGGGATTCCAAGATCATAAAAGTGGTAAAGAATATTGTCGTATTATTGAATAGCCACGTTAAAAGGTGAGTCAAAACATACTCATCCCACATTGATTTAAATACAGCATTGGGCTGAATAGAAGAATACTCAAAGGACTCTATCCGCTGAGGATGAAGCAGCTCTGTTCCTACATGTGGGATCGATTTCACTTGTATATTGACTTCCTTTATTACTTTATTAAATATAACAAGAGTTTAACATGAATCATTTATCAGTTTCTCTTAAGAATGTCCTCCACAACCACCAATAGACTGGATACAATATTCATTGGGGATTTTTGGGGGGAAATTCTAATTTATGGTATTTCAAATTCAGCGCGGTGCACACTGTAACTCTTGGGGTTTCACACTGGGCCTGACCTAAATAAAGATGTCATCTATTTTAGAGAGAAGAAATGTGTTAATGCTGGATATAGTTCTTCACAATTAGCCTGACTCAAGATGATCTGAACAACAATGTTATTTACTTTATCCGATTTCATCCAAGCAGCCTTTTGTTCCTCCAATGTCCATGTTTACAGATATGCTTAATCAGCTCATTAAATGATATGCATTTTATTTGTGTATGTGGAATGCATATAAAATATACTCACTTCATTATAATTATAGTTTTCAAATTCTAAATTAAATAGCTGAAATGGCAACGGGAAAAAAATGGTTTATGTTGGCATTTTGACAGTCCCACAGTAATTTGCTAATAACTTTCAGTGGGAATCACTGACACAGATGTGGGAGAACACGCAGGGTAAAAATAACTCGGGCTAATATAAAATGCACTCAGCACTTAAACAAAGCTGACATTTCCCAATGTATGCCTAAGCTGGTTGTTTCCCATGTGGGGGCCTTGTACTACTGACTAAGAATGTACTGCCATCAAATCCCTAGCACTGTAATTTAAAATGTGAAAATATTACAACGTGTCCCATTGAGAAGCTGCCCCCTGAGTGTGGCAATGCCCACATAACATTTGAACGATAATACAACAGGCCACTTTTTTCACACCCTTTTCTGGTGAAGTGGAAAAGAGGTGAGAGGAAAAGTATCTATTGTTTCTCTTTCCTCTTTATACAACTAAATCATAGTTGCTCCTGGCACTCCCATACTTCCATCTGCTACACATAGAGAAGACAGATGACTCTTGTCCCACTTAATCGACACAAGAGAGACACAGATTGTTTTTCCTCAGGTGGTTATGAATTTAATTTGCATTACCAAACGACAATTCCTGTGGAGGCAAGGTCAATGCACCTACTGATTAACCTCTGCACACTCCCACACAATGTGCATGTGCACATCCCTGCATGCACACAAACCATATGTCCAAAACCATGATGATACTTCCCGAGAAAATGTCAAATAAAATATTACAAAGCAGAAAGAGTCATACCCTGTTTTAAGAAACCAAATGTCTGGTTTCCTTACTGTTTGCATACCATGTAACATAATATTTCAAACTGCTGTATGACTATTAATAATCGTCCCTCTAACTCCAAAATACTAATTTATTTAACTGTGATGAAGTGATAGAAAGTGATGGCTATGATAAAAATCACTATCATTCTTATATAAGTATTTAATATGTTCAAACCAATGAGTACACTGTGCAGTACTTCCATGATTTCAAAAGAACTAGTCTGATGTTTTGGTTGCTTTCAGTAATTGTAGACAAAGATGCAAGGTCATACAAGCATCGGCAAATAACCATTAAAATAATGCTAAGATGTCCTGAGGCGATATTTAAATTATCTATGGTAAAATAGCGCTCTCACACAAGAGATTGTCAGGTTGAAATTGTATTTAAATGTGATGGAATGTTACACAGCCCAGTTTCATTTAAGTATGCTAATTGTGCAAATCCAAGGACATTTGAGCAATGAAAACTGTTTACTGTTAAATCCTTTGAAATGAGTGCTGAGTGTGGAACAGTGTGGCCTTTGGCTGAACGGCTGCTTGACTAAATTGCCTTAGTAGAGTACATTTGAATAGAACCGTTTTGGTTTGGACCTAAGACTTTTTTCTGCATTTTTAATAGTGTAGGGTTCAACACTTTTCTAAAGTCTATGTTTGCATTTGTGATTGTGAAGGAATGGATAGTAGTTAATGTCAACGATGGCTTCCTTACAGTCTGAAATCCCTCTCAGTGACCGTGAGAATATGAGTTGCAGAGATTCAGAGCTCAGGTTACGTACCTTGGTCCAGTTCACTCTCTTCATCACGGTCTCAGGCTTGTAGGTTTTCTTGGCCAACAGTCCGTAAGGCAGCTTGATGACAGGCAATGAGGGAGGGGGTGGAGGCCCGCCTGGGCCCCCAAAGAAGGGTGGAGGTGGTGGGGGTCCACAGCCAGGGGGTGGCGGCGGGGCTCGATGGTCCTCCAATTGCGCCTGTCATCAAGCTGGCCTTACGGACTGGTTGCCAAGTATACAAGCTGATGACCGTGATGAAGAGCAGGAGGTGAACGGTGGCAAGGTAGCGGAACACTAGCTGTGGAGGTCCTCCACCCGGTGGAGGTGGTGGTGGTGGTATCGAAGCATGACCAGGGAGAGGAGGAGGAGGTGGTGGAGGGGGAAAACAGCCACCAGGTAGAGGTGGTGGAGGAGGTGGGGGGGCCACTGCACCCCCTGGAAGAGGTGGTGGAGGTGGGGGTCCGGCCGCAGTTGGACCCGCTGCAATCTGCAAATACAGGGTAAAAAGGTTAATGATGGTCAAAACATCAAACGATGTGCTAAGCGCTTCATCTAAACCTCGATCTGCTGGATGTGTGTCATGAAGCAAAACCTCACTGCAGAGTTTTATTTCAAGATAACTAGGTTTGTGCTGCTTCCAAGTTCATGTCGTGTCTTATGCTGTCCTCAGAATTATATTTACCAAGGAAATCATGATCAAAACCGAGTTGGTGTATGTGGTTGCCAAGTTAGTTGGTCAAGCATTAAGCTAAAAACTATGAACCATACACAAGAATGTTGATCATAAGTTTCCATTTAAAAGATCCTTTATCAATTTGACACAATCATTTATGTGGCAAGTCCTTGTACATAAAGAAAAATGTGATTTTATAATGTTGCTTTTATAAATTAGGACAATTGTTTTTTTAAGTGTTTTAATAAGTGTGTTTGGCTTATATTGTTGAACCCGGGATATTTAGCCAATACAGTACTTAAGCTAGTGCTTGAATAAAACACTCAACTCGTAGTGATTGTAAAAAGCAATAGTTCTCTGAAGCAGTCATATAATTATTCATTATCAATCACATAACCACATGAAAACAGATATGCTGCACTTCAGTTGTCCATTGAAGGCAAAACTCACACTATGATTCAATTCAGGCCACTGATATTAAAAACAACTAGTTAAGCTAATTTTAGAATAACATTACTGGAACGCTACCTTCCATTACGCTGCTTTATATGGAGAGTTATGCATTGGTTAAAGGGTTGTGTTCATTAATCTCACTGGATATCAATGCAAATAGTCAAATGTATGAAAAAGCTTTAATCTACTGCTGTTATAATTTACAAAAGATAAGAATGTTGCTTTCCCATCAAGTCTTCATTATAAGTCCTCACAATGGCAGGCTATTAAACAGTAGACAGGGGTGTAATTACAGCACAGACTGATAAGACAGACTCTTTCAGTCCTTTGACATGTATGCACTATCACACAAACCACATACACAGGTAGTCAGTGATTATGCCAGTAGAAAAATGTTATAGAGAAAAAAGTTATGCAAATACAACAATTACTGACACCCGGGCTAAGACAGAGTTTGATCTTTGGAGCTGATTAGATGCCAGCTTTAAACAAATAGCGTTCCCACTTGCACTTCTCATTTCCAAAACCAATTCCCCACAGCCTGCGTTAGCCCCAGTCACTTGATTGTGTGCCTAACATGTGATTGGCTTCATATTTAGAGACATTACGTTGTGTTTCATTACATAATGGCACTGGCTGATTTTTTTATTAGGGCCAAAATTAAAAAGGGAGCTTCTTACACAGATTGCCCAAGAAAATCAACATCAATGATTACATGTCTGTCAATCTCAAGCCTTTCGTGGCCCGTTTCCTCTTTTAAGATTAATATGAGAGAATGAAAGCAAATTAGCTGCTAAATTGGAGCGCAGTTGTTTCCAAACTGAGAGGCCCTCTGAGTCTCTCTCTCTCTCTCTCTCTCTCTCTCTCTCTCTCTATCTCTCTCCTTATCTCTCTCTCTCCCTCTCTCTCATAATATTAAGCCCAGTGTTTCACAGAACCCTGAGGATCAAATATCATCGCTACTGGCTTCCTATTTCTAAGATACTAAAACAAACATCTAATAAAAATGATATGCCTACGTTGTAAAGTGTATAATAATTGTGTCTTTGGACTCAAATAAAACAGCTATTTTAAACTGAGGTCATATTGGAGAACATCAGACGTTTTGTGTTGCGTTGTTATCAAAATGCTCAAACATGTATTGCATGTAATATGTACTGTATGTCCATAACCTACATGTGTCTTGTTCTGAATTAATAAACTAAAGTACAATATACGGTATAGGAAGATTAATGTTTAAATACAATATGAAAAAAAATATGATTATGTATTGATGAAATACAGAAACATTACGACAAAGACATAGTATAGAAATATGTTTATTCGAACATTTTATTTCTAATTACTCTATGATTCTGCATGTTTGATGTTGTGTTTCTCGCCAGCTTGTGAAGGTTCTCTTTGATGCTTTTTGGCTCTTCATACTTTTGCAGAGCCCATCTGGAGCTCTTTGTTAAGTATAAATTGCGGCTAATATGAAATGTAACCCATCCAATTTGGATTCTTAGTCTTCTGGACTCAATTGCGAGGCCAGCATGGCAGGTAATTAACTGTGAATTATATGTGATTAAAGCTATGCCCCAATCTCATCTCTGATAGGGGATTTCAATCACAAAGTGTTTACTTAGGAAACTTGCATTGAACAAACAATAATTGTTTGTAGGTAAAAACTACAAAAGGAGTTTAATATATTATTCATTTTAATAAAAACTTTTTATTCCTGGCTAATTTTACGAATTAGTTATTTTAAGAATCATGCGGTCATTCAAGTGTTGTATCAATTCAGTGTTAATGTTATTGCATTTCAGTTTGAACTTTTTAAATTTGCTGTTACAGTAGATCATTTATAATCAAATTGATAGGTGATATATATATATTTAAATTGTTTGCTTGATATGTAGAGAAGCACACAAAGGAAAACAGATAGGACAACAAATCAATTCAATATAGGGTTTAAGATTTGTTTTCTAACAACATATCTGAAGCACCACAATATAATTTGTTTGAAAGATAAATTGTATTTGCAGGTTGTTAAAAGTGTGATTGTGTTCAGGGCTGCACATGCAAAGAGGACACCCACCTTGGCTTCAGATTCACTGATGAGTCTCTGAGCCTCTGTGAGCTTGTCTTTTTCAATAGTTAACTGTGCAGAAACAACCAACACACACACACACACACACACACACACACACACACACACACACACACACACACACACACACACACACACACACACACACACACACACACACACACACACACACACACACACACACACACACACACACACACACACACACACACACACACACACACACACACACACACACACCAGAAAGTCGACACTTTACATATTAAAGCTGGGCAGGGAGGGAAACATCACATCGTAATTAGGAACAGGCTCAGAGGAGGAGACGGAGAGATGTTAGG